GGCCAGGGGACTTCCGAGACTTCTGAGAAGGCCCGCCACTTCTCACTTCCCCCCCTCGCTCACCGCCGACAAACATCGTGATCTGGAGAACGAAGCCGGTCGAAAACGGTTTGCCGAAACAGATGAAAAAAACGGTCCTGGGATCGGAGCCAGGGCCGAAACAACAACTGCGACGGAGGCCCCAAAAAACGGCGCCAGAACTGGGTAAGAAGCTTGCAAAATCAAAACGAAAGGAAAAAAAACTCCCCGGCCGTTTCCAAGGGCCACTAAGGAGCGAGCCCGCGTGACACCCTGGGCGCTTGACGAGTCGGCGGACCTCGGAGCGGAAGAGCGCCTCCAGGAAGCGGCGGGCGTCCTCCACCGCGGCCTCGGGAGGGGCGTGCCGAAGTGGGCCGCGGATGGCGTTGGGGTCTCTCCGTGCTCTCGGGGTCTCTCTTGGGCTCTCGGCCTCGGCCGCGCAGGGCTGATGGGCAGCGGGGTATGGCTAGTCAGCTTGGCCGTAGGGGCCGGGGCTCCCCTGCGGACCTGAGGCCCGAGGCCCCACCCGCCCGCGGTGCGCAGCCGATAGGGCTCCCCCCCCCTGGCCGGTGCCCCGATGCCGCCGACCTGGGCGGCAGCGGCGGCCGACGATGCCGCCGACGCCGACGCCGACGCCGACGTCGACGCCGATGCCGACGCCGATGCCGACGCCGATGACCACGCCGACGCCGACGACGACGACGACGACGACGACGACGACGACGACGACGACGACGACGGCGACGACGACGACGACAACGACGACGACGACGACAACGACGACGACGACCTTGCGAACAAATGATCGGCCAAGCTGATTTGACGTAACTCGTTTCTCCCTCTCTCCCGCTCCCGCCCGCGAAGCCTATGAGCAACAGGCCTCGGAAAAAATTAGCGAACACTCATGCCACATTCATCTGTGAACGCCTCCCCCTTCCCCCAATGTTCAAAGTTGGCGGTGAGTCTGATGAGTTGCACCTCGACCGCAGTCTCCCCCCCGCGTGCCAACTTTGAGTTTTGGGGGCAGGGGGGTGTTCACCAATTGTTTCCCTCTACCGAAGCCCACTTCTTAGGGGGGCTTCTTTTCACACCAGCTCCCGGGAGGAACATTCGGCAGTGCACTCTGCGTGCGCACCGCGCCGCCATGGCCGTCATGCAGCCACCGCGCCCTCGGGCAACTCACCAACTTGGGCGAACTGCAGGAGTTTATTCCCACATCGTGGATGGCTCTTGGGCTTACACCAATCCTCCTCCTCCTCCTCCTCCTCCTCTTCCTCCTCCTCCGTCCTCCTCCTCCTCATCCTCATCCTCATCATCATCCTCATCCTCATCCTCATCCTCATCCCGCCCTCCTCCCTACCTCCAGCCCTCCCGCCTCCCTGCCTCCCTGCCTCCCTGCCTCCCTGCCTCTCTGCCTCCCTGCCTCCCTGCCTCCCTGCCTCCCTGCCTCCCTCCCTCCCTCCCTCCCTCCCTCCCTCCCTCCCTCCTCCCTCCTCCCTCCCTCCTCCTCCGAGAACGGGCTCCAGGGCGTCTCAGAAGAAACCGCGAGAAAGTATCGAGCGGGAGCCGCTGTCGTCGTAGCTGGGCGTTCGCCAATCCGAACGACTTGCGAGGAGGCCTCGGGCGAGAGCGCCACTCCCGAGTGTGACCAGGGCGCACGCCTGTAAAGTAGGAGGAAAGATCGAATGAGAGCCGGGCCTGGGCAAGGCGCCTCGGAGAAAATTGCAGGGAAGTATGGGGCGGTGAGCAGTTCTCGTCGCAGCTGGGCCTTCACCAACTCGAATGAAATGCGAGGAAACATCTGGCAGAAACGCTATTCCTGAGAGCGGGGCCGCCTCTGCCCAGCGCGCCCCGGAGTACGCTGCGAGGAAGTATCTCGAGCAGGAGCCGCCGTCGTGTGGGCCTTCACCAACTCGATGGAACTGCCAACAAAAATCTCGCGCGAGAGCTCCGCGGGCGCATCTGACCGGGGCGCGCGAGAGTAAATAGAAATGAGTGTCGAGCGGCAGCCGTTGTCGTCGCACGTGGGCCCTCACCAGCCCAAGCGGATTGCGAGGACCTCATGGGCGAGGGCGCCGTTCCTGAAAGCAGGGGCGTCTCCTGACCAAGGCGCCTCGGAGCAAATTGCGCGCTGGTATCGAACGGGAGCCGTTGTCAACGCAGTCGGGCCCTCACCAGCCCAAGTGGATGGAGAGGACGTCTCAGGCGAGAGCGCCACTCCTGAGTGCGGGCGTTTTCTGACCGAAGCGCCTCGGAGCAAATTGCGAGAACGTATCGAAGGGGAGCCGTTGTCGTCGTAGGTGGGCCTCCACCAACTGTACTGAGTTGCTGGAAAATGTAATGCGAAGGCGCCGCTGCTGAGTTTTGGGGGGCCTCTCTCTGGCCAAGGCGTTTCGAATGTCTCGGAGTAAACTGCGAGGAAGTATCGATCGGGAGCCATTATCGTTAGGTCGGGCATGTCCTCCTACAGGCGGATTTTGGAAGGAAAAAATAGCCAAGAAGAATCTCAACTATGGTCAAAAGAGCAAGGAAAATCGTCACCAGACTAATGTTTACTATTGGATGCTCCTCCTGTAAAGGGACATGCCCCGTCGTGGATGGGGCTCCAACTGCCAGGATGGGGAAGCAAGCCCGCGCTCGAGCGGGAGCGCCGTTTTCAGAGAACACGTGCCCGGCGTCAAGGCGAGATGGTCCAGGAGCGTTTCCATGTCCGCCACCGCGCATGCACGGAGTCGACGTGTTAGAATGCGCTGTGCTGTCTGGCGGGAGATTATGTCGACTTTGCTGAGGGGCCATCCCCAGCTCCCCGCGCGCGCGCCCTTGAAAAAAACGTCCCGTTTTAAGCATTGATATCTGGCGGTCTTGCGGCCTCCAGACGGCCAGGGTGGCCTCCAAGACGGCATCCAAGACAGCAGCCAGGATGACAACAAAACAGCTCAGGATGGCCCAAAGCAGATCCAGAGCCTCTCAAGAGAAGAGAGCAACAAGACGGCCCAACGAGGCATCCTGGGCTGTCCTGGACGGTCGGAACCCCAGCCGTGCCAGAACCCAAAAACCCTTCAGGTACCAAAAGACGGCCCAGGGATCGCCCAAGGTGCTCCCAAAGAGGGCGCAAGACGGCTGTGAACCGCTCCAAGAGGGCACCAACGCGGCCCAAAGAGAGGCCCCCAAGGCGGCCTCCATGGGCGTCAGACGGGCCACAAGAGTCCCCTGAGACGGCCCGAGGCCACGTGAGGCCCCGAGAAGGCCCCAAGGAACCTTGTCCTCCTCATCCTCATCTTCTCCCTATCCTCCTCTTCCTTCTCCTCCTCATACTCACCCTCATCCTCATGTTCACCTCATCCTCCTTTGCCTCAGGCTTCTCCTCGGTCTCATCCTCATTGTCTCCTCAGGCTCCGAGAAGGCCTCAAGAAACCTTCCTTCCTCATCCTCATGTTCTCCCTCTCCTCATCCTCCTCTCCGCATTGTCTCCCTCTCCTCATCCTCCTCATCCTCCTCATCCTCCTCATCCTCCTCATCCTCCTCATCCTCCTCATCCTCCTCATCCTCCTCATCCTCATCCTTCTCTTCTTCCTCCTCCCCCTCCTACCGCGCTGACGAAGGCGAGGTCGGGATCACGACCCGCCCCAGTACAAACTGCTCGTCGGAACTGCACTGCTCCTACACGCAGCCTCCTTCCTGCTGCGCTGTTGCACAGGTACGGTGGCGGAGTTTGCCGCAGGCAGCTGGATATCAATAATCATCGTTCTCTAGAACGAATTTTCGACGACAGGAGAGGCGGCGGCGAACGACGACGACGACGACGACGACGACGACGACGACGACGACGACGACGACGAAAACAACGACGACAACGACGACGACGACGACGACGACGACGACAACGACGACGACGACGACGACGATGGGGGCCTTCTCACAAAAAGCCATCTTCTTGCCATGCCCCGGACCAAGCAACTCTCCAAACCCGTCCCCGGACCCCCACCCGGGGTCCAGTCTGGCCCTTGTTCCGCAAGCCGCGACCAGCCGCGGCATCCAGGGGGGCCCCGAACGCCCAAAAAAACAAAGAGAACGAGGAGGAAAGGTAAAGAAACCGTGGAGGAGGAGGAGGAGGAGGAGGAGGAGGAGGAGAAGGAGGAGAGGAGGAGAAGGGAAGACGTTATGCTGAGTGTGCTCACTACACCCAGCTGGGCCCCCTCCTCCCAGCAACACCCCTCCTGAGAGACAGGAGGGGAGGCGGTCGAGGAGGAGGAGGAGGAGGAGGAGGAGGAGGAGGAGGAGGAGGAGGAGGAGGAGGAGGAGAGGGAGGACGTCCTTGCATGGATCCTCGCCGCCTGAGAGGAGGAAGCTTTCTCGTTGCGGCACGGGCTGCGCTCAGCAAAGGAGTCCTTAGTGAGCGAGCGAGCGAGCGAGGACGAGGGCGGAAAAGGCGGGGGATGGCGGCGAAAGGGGGACGGGGAGAAGGAGACCGAGCCGAGCGCCTGCTCGTCGCCGACCGAGGACGAGGGCCGGGCCGACGCACACTCCGGAGGCCTTCACGGGGGCCCCCGCGGAATGCCCTCGAGGCCCGCGGCAGGCATCCCCAGGAGGCCCCCGGAGGCCTCCGGAGAGGGCGCGGGCGCCCTCGCGCAGAACCCCGATCCCCAGACCCCCGACGTCATGACTTCTTCATGACGTCGGCCCCCCCGAGGTCTCGACCTCTTCCCCGGGATCGGGTGTTCGTCCCGAGTCGTCTTTTGACGGTGCCGAGGCCCGACAAGGAAGGGCCCCCAGAGGCCGAAGATGGCGAGAACCCTCCCGTCACGATTGTCTCATTACTCGAGGGGGTCTGGGCCCCCCGATCCTCAGCGACGACGACGACCACCGCCGCCATCACATCCTCGAACCACGACGACGACGTCGCCGACGCAAACGCCGCCGCCGACGAGGACAGCGCCGCCAGGGCCGCCGAGCGCCGCAGCTGGCGAGGCCGACCCGAGATCCGACATCGTCAAAAAAACGACATGAGCGACGATCAGAAACGGGTCTTACGCGAGATGGCATAGCGAATGGCGAACTTACGCCGCGGCTTACGCGGGCCGCCAGCGCGGCACGCTACATTGGAAGCGAGGGCGCTTACGCGCGACCTTACGCGGGCAGCTTACGCGCCAATGTCGGCGCAGACGACCCAATCTTTTTGCGTCGCTCACATGGTGACAACGCTACGACCAGAGCCCCAGACCCCCTCTTCCTGCGGCACTTCTCGAGCCAGCTGCATCGATGTATGCAGAGAGCCCAGGGCCCGAACTCAGGCGAAATCACCTGGCGTGAAGGACTGCGACGGCAGGACCCTCGTGCCCGCCGACGCCGCCGCCGCCGCCGCCGCCGCCGAGCGGCCGCCGAGGCCCGCCGACGCGGGACGCAAGCGCGGCGCGGGGCAGCCACGGCGGCATCCGAGCGGCCGACGCCTCCGAGCGGCCGCCGACGCCGCCGCCGACGCCGCCGCCGACGCCGCCCCGCGCCGACGACGCCGCAGGCCGCCGCCGGCGAGGCCGAGCCGAGCGCCGCCGAGCGGCCGCCGAGGCGCGGCCGCCGAGGCGCGGCCGCGGCCGCGGCCTGGTCGCAGGCCGGGCGCCTGGCGAGCGCCAGCGCCAGGCGCAGCGCCTCCGCAGCGGGCGCGTGCGCGGCCAGGGCGCGGAGGACCGCCAGCTGGCCCAGGCACTCGGCCTGCGGCTTGCCCCCTCCGGGGGGACCCAGGCAGCCAGCGTCTATGGAGCTGTCGGCCTCTCGGGCCTCGGGGCCTCTCGGGCCCCTCACCGGGCCTCGGGGCTGCCAAGAACGGCTCGGGGTGGAAAACCGGTCCCGGGGAAGTGCTCTGGAGTCAGGTCGGGCATGTCCTCCTACGGGCGGACTTTGCACGAAGGTAACCAAAAAAACAAGCAAAAGCAATCCGCGCATAATCGAATCATGGTATACTATTTCTGGCTATTCTTGAATACTCCTCCTGTAGAGGGACAAGCCCGATGTAAGTCTAGAGGTCGGGGGCCCGTGTCTCGAACAAAATTGACACGCTGGATGTCTGGGGAGCTGCCCCGGCTCCAAGGCCGCCACCACGGCAACGGCACAACCCCAGAACTCCGACGAGTTGATGCTTTCAACATGGGCGCTTTGCCTCGATTTCGGCCACATGGGGCACGCCATCGGGCCCTATGAGGGCCACCAAGAGTGGATCCAGGACAAAAAGCTACCCCTGGGGAGGAGGTCGGAAGCTCTGGAGCCGCGGATGGAACAACAAAAAAACAGATCGCGGGACGTCCTTGGGAGCCCCCCCCCGTGAGTGAGAGAACCGTTATCGTGCTGTGAGGAAGGGGTTGGGAGGATGAAGGGTATGAGCAATAGCATCCGCATGCAATGAACGATAATTACCTTCGGCCGCCTACGGGTAAGGATATCCTGATTTCTCCCACCCCATCCTCCCAACCCGATTATTTCTTCCTGATTGAGTCCCTAACTGGAGCCCGGGGAACCGTCAGAAACTTAAATAAGAAAACAAACAACAACGACAACAACAACAACAACAACAACAACAATCATTTTACCCGAACGCGTGGTGTTCTCCCCAGTGCCAGGGTTTTCATACGACACCAGGCAATACCCCCACTTCGTGGGGGGGGCATTACAAGCTCTACCAAATATCCAAACGACTCTTCGCGACCACCCAAACCCAGCTTCCCGCCCTATGACGTTGGGACACTTCACTTCGTGGCGTGCGGACGACCGTGGCTACTACACTGGCGTGGGGTACACACCCACAGAACTTGGTCACTTATTCGGGGCGCGCATGTGCCCAGCATGGTGCAATTGTGCCATACAATACATAATACAGAGAGACAGAGAGAGAGACAGAGAGCAGACAGAGAGAGAGACAGAGAGAGCGGAGTTGGTCACATTTTTGGGTCAAGTTCCTGGGATGATGGGAATACACAACTCTGTTACAATTGATAGTGCGCACGACACATTTTATGATGCGCGGTGGTAAAATTCTTAAGAACCCAATGGTTTTTGGAGATTTCGGCGTGCGCGCGCGAAGAAAAAACGAATGTGTCCCGCATGGTATTATTTGACAGGGATGATGGCCCTGGCAGGTGCGCAACCGTTGTCGCAGAAGTTCGAAAAAGTTGCTCGCAAAAGCCCGTTTGACAGAAATGTTTAAAAAGTGTTGGTTTTCCTACGAATCCGCAAGAGCGCGCGGGATGAGATTTCGACATTTTTTTATTGAAAAACCATTGGTTTTTTGATGTTTTTATGTTAAAATCGTTCCGAACACTAAGCTTTTGGAAGGATTTCGTCTTGCGCGCGCGAATGTCCACTTTACCTTATTTTTTGCAAGGGATTCTTGAAATTTGATTATATTAGAACAAGAAATGTCATTTTATAGTGTTTTTTGCAAGGGAAAGCGGGGGGGAACAAAACAACCGGATCTTGATCACATCGAATTACCTGAGGCTTCCTCACGAAAATGATGAAAATGTAGCTGCGGCCTAGGCGGCGCAGGGGGGCCGTGCACCGGGGCCCCAACAATAATTATTCTTTAGAATTAATAATGTTCAACAACAACAACAACAACAACAACAACAACAACAACACAACAACAGCAGCAACAACAGAACAACAACAACAACCACACACAACCACAACCACACAGCACAGCAACAACAGCAACAACAACAACAACAACAGAACAGCAACAGCAACAACACAGCAACAGCAACAACAAAACAACAACAGCAACAACACACAACAACAACAACAACAACAACAACAACAACAACAACAACAACAACAACAACAACAACAACAACAATCACTTTACCCGAACGCTCAGTGTTCTCACCAGTGCCAGGGTTTTCATGCGACGCCAGCCAATACCCCCACTTTGTGGGGGGGCAGTGCAAGCTCTACCAAATATCCACACGACTCTTCGCCACCACCCACACCCAGCTTCCCGCCCTATGACGTTCGGACACTTCACTTCGTGGCCTGCGGACGACCGTGGCTACTACACTGGCGTGGAGTACACACCCACAGAAGTTGTTAAGCCTACGTTCGTACACCCACAGAAGTTGTTAAGCCTTGTTAACCCACAGAAGTTGTTAAGCCTTCCACAGAACATCTGTTGCATATGATGCATATGGTACATGATACACATGATACACATGATACGTACTCGCAAGGGAAGACGTGCAGGTGTTTTTCGAGGACCCAATGGTTTTGGAGATTTCGGCGTGCGCGCGCAAAAAACGAATGTGTCCCGCATGGTATTATTTGACAGGGATGATGGCCCTGGCAGGTGCGCAACCGTTGTCGCAGAAGTTCGAAAAAGTTGCTCGCAAAAGCCCGTTTGACAGAAATGTTTAAAAAGTGTTGGGTTTCCTACGAATCCGCAAGAGCGCGCGGGATGAGATTTTGACATTTTTTTGTTGAAAAACCATTGGTTTTTTGATGTTTTTATGTTAAAATCGCTCCGAACACTAAGCTTTTGGAAGGATTTCGTCTTGCGCGCGCGAATGTCCACTTTACCTTATTTTTTGCAAGGGATTCTTGAAATTTGATTATATTAGAACAAGAAATGTCATTTTATAGTGTTTTTTGCAAGGGAAAACGGATTACAACAAAACAACCGGATCTTGATGACATCGTATTACCTGAGGCTTCCTCACGAAAATGATGAAAATGTAGCTGCGGCCTAGGCGGCGCAGGGGGGCCGTGCACCAGGGGTCCCAACAATAATTATTCTTTAGAATTAATAATGTTCCACAACAACCCCCCAAAAAACGCGGCACGGAACGCGGGCCCTGGGCAGAGGCACAGGCCTCCTGGGGGGACCCGCACCGGGAACAGCACCACACGACATCGGCTCCTCGGCTGCCTGGGCCCCGAGGGAGCCCGAGGGAGCTCCGAGCCGCGGGCAGAGCGTGGATCCCGAGCCACCGGCTCTCCACCCAGCGCGAGCCCCTCAGGCAAGCCTGATGCTGGGGAACATCGGCTGCCCGGCC